TTTGAGTTGAGTAAGAAAGGTGCAGCTTTAATGGATATCTTAGCCGAAATGCCAAAGTTCCCTGAGCGACAGGTATGCATGCAGGACTTCTCGACTTTGATTAATTATTTTCTGCAGTATTCTGCATAATTGATGTATTAGTTTGACGGGAGTCCTCCTTTTGCATCTTATAATGTAATCTTTCAATTTTTGCAGTATGACGTTGTCCTTTTATTATTGTTATTGTTATTATTGGTGTTAAGCGACAATATTCTCTTTACGATGTAGTCTTCACTGATAAGAAAAGCTGAGGATACTGAGGCTGATACCGCTGACCAAAGTGCAATCAAGTTGCGTGCACAACAGCAAACTTCTAATGCTCTAGTAATGACAGACCAACGCCCTGCTAATGGAACTCCACCAGTCAGCCAGCTAGGTTTAGTAAAAGTTCCAAGCATGAGCAATGTGGTAATGTGTCTCTCTGACCATTTATGCAAAAATTGAGGATATAATTGTCTGTGTTTTTAGTATTAGATGGTAACCAACAATTTACTTTATGGACAGGATCGTGATTTAGCAGATCAAGGGGAGACTCAGTCAAATGGAACTTTGACTGTTGTGGATCCTCAACCCCCTTCAACCCCTTCGCCTGATCTCCTGGGTGATCTTTTAAGTCCTCTGGCTATTGAGGGCCCTCAGCCTGATGCTAACCAATCTGACCATAATTTGGGTGCTGGTGTTAAAGGTGCTCCAACTGCAGAGGATGCACTAGCACTTGCACCTGTTGAAGAACAGATGAACACCATCCAGGCACTGCTTTCTTTTACGTTTGTTAATATATGCTTTACCCACTAGCGTTCTTGTTATGACTCCTAATTTAGTGATAGGAAGATGCTGCCATTTCTTTTCAGTTTCTGGTTCCCGTGATTGATTTATCAGATTCAGGTCTCTCAGTTCATATTTTCCTATTCTTTGAAAGTTGTAAAAGATTTCTGTTATTAATTTTGCTGAAAGCTGCTGGGATAAGCTTTAAAAGTGTTTGGCTAGTAAAGGCACTTGCTTGGATGACCGCAAATACATGTTCATTACCATTTGCCAGTAGAAGCACATTCATTTCATTCTCTGCAAAATCAACTAATAATTATCGCCTTTTCCAAATGAAGGGAGATTTCTGCTGCACTTAAGATTTTTATTAGTGTGTAGTCACCTGTTCGGAAATTAGAAATTCTGACAGACTGTTTTACCTTTCCTGGTTGTAGCCAATAGGAAACATTGCAGAAAGGTTTCATGCCTTGTGCCTTAAAGATAGTGGTGTATTATATGAGGATCCATATATTCAGGTAGATGATCGATCCAGAGTTTATTGTTTTATCTGTCAAGTGATGGACTTCTATGGACTTAGTGCTTTTGGTTGGCATAATTCCAGATTGGTATAAAAGCAGATTGGCGGGCACATCATGGACGACTTGTCCTCTTCTTAGGAAATAAAAATACCTCTCCACTGGCTTCAGTACAGGCTCAAATATTGCCTCCATCTCATTTGAGGGTGGAACTATCATTAGTACCTGAGACTATTCCACCACGTGCACAGGTCAGATAGTTATTTACTTGTTTCATGAGTTGAGTTTTTGTTATTTGATAGTCACATCTTCTAATCTCCAACTAAATGAATTTCTCCAGGTTCAATGTCCGCTTGAAGTTGTTAACCTTCGTCCAAGTAGGGATGTTGCTGTTCTTGACTTCTCATATAAGTTTGGAACCCATCTGGTACTAATTCTTTATGAATTGTGTTTTTCATATGGTTTGAGTCAGTGATATCCTAGTGGTAAGGACCCACCACTTCAATCATGAGGTTGGGGGTTCAAGTCCCCTAGGGAATAGAGTGAAAACAGCCTCTTTCCTGGGTAGAGGGTTTAGAGCCGGGGTGTTTAATGATCTGTCATTGTTAAGTCAGCTCTTGTATTTATTATTTTTACTTTGTTGTGCATTTTACAGGTTAATGTTAAACTTCGTCTTCCTGCTCTCTTGAATAAGTTTCTTCAGCCTATCTCAGTATCTCCAGAAGAATTTTTCCCACAATGGAGATCACTATCTGGGCCACCATTGAAGCTCCAAGAAGTGGTATGTCCATTCTCTTTGTTGTAACTTTAGCAATATCTTTGCATATGGAAATTTTCTCTTACGTGTGTATTACTAAGTACATCACAATTCACGAACGAATACCTAGATTTTCATCTCAAACTTACGCGCGCATATCAATATCTGACATATGGCCTCGAACTTATTTTCTATTTTGCCCAGGTTAGAGGTGTAAGACCATTGCCACTTCTTGAAATGGCAAACTTGTTCAACAGTCTCCGGTTGATGGTGTGTCCAGGACTTGTGAGTTTCTGATCTTTCGTCTATTTTGGCTTGTTCCTTCAGGATTTTTTACCTTCACATTAACATTATGTTGCAACTCTTGATTTCTTATGCAGGATCCAAATAGAAATAATTTGATTGCTAGCACAACTTTCTATTCTGAGAGTACGCGAGCCATGTTGTGTTTGGTAAGCTAGTGATCTAGTGATACTGCTGCCTTAGAGCCCGTTTGGCCAAGCTGTCGAGAATTGCTTATTTTTAAAAGTACTTTTGTTCAAAAGCGCTTTTCGAAAAAGTACTTTTACAAAGTAGCATTTTGTGTTTAGCCAATTCATTGAGTAGTGTTTTTTGCGAGCAAATTGTGTTTGGCCAATCATTCCAAAAAGTACCTTTGAGTATCAAATTACGAAAAAGGACCGTAAAGGTTCAGTTTGCAATTAGTATTATTTAAAAAAGATAAATAAATTTAAATATCTATGTATAATTTAAATGATAATTTGGGGTATCTAGTGTTATTTATTGTTTACATGATTTAAATATATCAAAATACATCACTCAATATAAATTAAAAATCTACTCTTATAAATCACTATATAAAAGAAGAGATCTATTTAGGACAAAGAGAATAAAAATACGATAGAATAAAAAAGAGAAGAAATGTATGGTAAAAAGAAAAAAGAAAATAAAAATATTAAATTAATGAGGGATAATTTTGAAAATTATTTAAGATATTTTGTCTTGAATAAATTAATTTTCTGTTTCTTGGAAAACTAGAATTTGTAGCTTCTCTTCAAAAGCAGAAAAACTGCTTCTGCTGCTCGAAAGTACTTTTTTATTTTTATTTTGGTCAAACATCTCAAAATTTCCAAAAAGTACGTTTTTAACAAAAAAACAAGAGTAGTTTTTGCTTCCCAGAAGCTTGGCCAAACATGCTCTTAATGCTCTAAGAAAATACAATAAATTTTATTGGCTCCGTGAGTTGAACACGAGCATTTTCTGCTGCCTGCTTAGAGATATATTTTAATTTACTGAAAAAAAAATTTTAAATATAATATGACTAAAGTTTATAGCAGTATACGGGTTAGCTCACTGTATCAGTTTCTTTTGGGGAATTTGCCTTCTACCTGGATTGAGTAGAGCAGTTTGTCCAAAAACCTTACTTGACAGTTGACAGTAGTGGTCATTCCTTCATGAGAGAAGGTGGAAACTGTGGGGGTTTTCTTTTTTTCTGGAAGATGTCATTTTTTTTAAGGAAAACCTTTGACAAGAAGATGTTATCTTTATGGTTTATCATTTAGTTTAAAATAGAGAAGTGTTCCAGAAAAATTATCCAACTTCTTTAATTGTGATATTCAGGTAAGAATAGAAACAGATCCAGCGGATAGAACTCAACTGCGTATGACAGTTGCCTCTGGAGATCCTACACTGACATTTGAGTATGAGCTAAATGTGCTTTCTAATGTTAATCTTCTTAACACTCATTACTGACGTTTAAATCACCTATGGATTCTCTTCTAACTATATGTAGGTTGAAGGAGTTCATTAAGGAACAATTGGTTATTCTCCCTACAGCTCCTGGGGCGCCTGCACCACCCATGCCTCTTCAGCCACAACCACAACCAACAAGTCCACCACCAGCTGTATCAGATCCTGGAGCGTTGCTTGCTGGTTTGCTTTAAGTGGCTTTAAATGTGTTGGGAATTGCATCCACAGTCCACAGTTGTAAAATTTGTTTATACTGCAAACTGAAACGTCGGCAAAGGCAAGATTAGCACCTAACAACACGATGCAAGGGCTGGCGGAAGTGAGGGTGGCACTGATTTACATAGCTCATGATTGGGATTCTCGGAAGGGCTGGGTTGAAATTTTGAGATTCTTTGCACAATATGTTGTGCTTTGGTGAGGTTTATAGGTTTAGATGATAGGGCCTATTTATTTTTTTAGTTCCCCTTCAAATTTCATGTTCATTTCGTCAGGTTTTACACCATTGGTTTCTGTAGTGTCAATAGCGCAAGTCATTGTAATCGTTGCTTTGGTCTGTTCCTCCCTATGTATTCTACAAATATAATGAGGAAAAAGAAGTATTTGGCTTTGATTGATCTTTTCTTAATTGTTCTACTAAGGTAGTGAAAATGTGTTGTGATTTTAAAATTCTGTTGAAGCATACATAGATAATAGGTTTTCAATCTATTGTAAGTCTTCTATTTTTTCATATAGCGTCTTGCCAGTTCATTCAGCTAAGGGATTAAATTCGATTGGCTACTTATCCTTCCGAGCTAAATGGTAGTGCTATGCGAAAAAGTAAGCTTTCCTCTAACATTAAATTGTACAATTTAGGCGTTATTAAGTAGTATCATTTTTGTTCGTAACCGATTGGTTGGTGAAATAAAATCCAAATCACTCTTATTAGCCTATGAAATAAAAAACGCATATGAACGTATTCAACCCGTCCTCATTAAACCTTGGAGGCAAATAATATTTTCATATCTAATAAAGGAATTAATCTCTTTTTATATACCCAAGCATATTAAATCTTTTAAGCCAAATTATTTCATAGATAACTTCCTCACATCGCAATGTTCTATTTTCTCTTTAATCCACTCAGTGGTGTTTAAAAACGCGGATGGTGGTCAGAGTTATTTCAGAGTGCTAAAAAACTATACGAGGAAAAGAATTCCTAACTAATGGCCTCTTTATACAGTCAAAAATATCAGATAAGCACCAACTAAAAAGAGTTGCTTATCTGCCAAGGTTGGAGCAAATACCACAACCTCCCACTAATCATCTCTAGACGTATATTGCGCACGATTGTTTTCCTATCATCCAGCTATAATCATTCAGAAGAAATAAGAGACCTGCAGATGATGAAACCTCCCAAATTGGATGACGGAACTTTGCCAGGTTGCAAAATTGCAGCAGCCCCTACCACTGAATCTTAAATATGCGGAACGTGCTCTCGCGCCTGCTTAGCAAAATAATTACCTACCGGCATCACAAGTGAATTCAATTTCCTTGTCTATTTGTGACAAAGCAACAAGTAGACTAGCATCCAAAACTGCATCTTGTGTAGTTAACCAACTCTTAGATTGGTGAAGTCAAAATATATCACATTCCCTCTAGCTGATGCACCTCTGACTCCAATCAGTAAGATCACAAAATGATAAAAGCATCGACTATCTCCAGTCCCTACAGTTGCCACACCTCCAACCGGCTTCTCCAAACAACTCCTCAATCCAAGGTGAACAATGACTGTGGATCCATATGCCACACATTTGACAACAAAGATCAGGGCATGGTTCAGAATGGGAACACATCTTACAAGGAACAGTGACAGCAGCAGATTCTATGCTAAACTCAGGCTCGTGCTTAAAGTAAGACATATCAGAAAGTCCATCAGATGGAAACCCCAATGATGTGTCAACATTGTCTGTCAAATTAGCAGATCCGTCCAATGGGCCGCAATCATCAGATGCAAGCAATTCGTTGAAAGAGAAATAGGTCTGAGGTTCAAACTCCATGTCCTCATAGTGAAGATCATCGTATTCAAACATCATGCCTTCCTCAAAACCATTCCTGGAAGTATCCCAGTCAACCCCATGAGGTGTTGATAATTCAACTTCCATGGAGTTGTTGGCGAAATCAGTATCTGAATTCTTCTCCACTCCTCCATGTCTTCTTACTGGCAGTTTAGTTCCCCGTTCAGCATTAGAAGGTATTTCTTCTGCAGAAATCATTATGTTTCCTCCAAAAAAATCAGCATCGGAAGGATTGCTTGCAAAAGAAGAATCCAAATCATTCTCGTTCTTCACATGCCTCCTTACTGGCAACTTTTTAGGCCCTGGCACAGACATGGTTGCAGCATTCCATTCAGAATCAGCTTCTGGGAATTGCTCATAGAATTCTTCCGGAGTAGAAACAAGAGAATTATCGTCCTCTACATATATGTTTTCCTCTTTTGAGGGCACCACTTGAGTAGACATCTCATCCTCCATATGCCGCTCCGGGATGATCCCAGAGTGAAACTCCGTTCCAGGATTATCCATCTTTGAAGCCCTTGACCGCATTCTCTTTTCTTCTAACTGCTTTTTGCTTTCTGGATCCAAATAAGGACAGATGGGTATTCTAGTCCTACGGCATCTAGAACATTTGAACCCAACAACTTCAGAAACCTTCGACTCCTCAAGCCCAACAGCATCAGCATGAAACCAATCTGCAAACTCACGGTGCATTAATTAATTCTCCAAACCTAAAAAGTAATGAAACATATATTCAAGATTACGAGGTTAAAAAAATTCCTCCCAGGAACAAACTTACTTGTACACGTTTCACAGCGGATGTACATCAAATCAGGATTGTATGGCTTGCGACAAAGGTAGCAAGTAAGTCTGGGAAAATCTCCGTCTGGATTGCCCTTAAGAAAAATGTTTCTTAATCTAAACTCAGTGCCAGTGTCCTCATTCTTCTTTCTCCAAACGACACCCAACTTGTGCTTTTTTTTCGTTGTTGAATTCGAAGAACTACCATGCTTCCTATCAGAAGAATGCTTCAATGTGGCAACGGAGGCTGAAAGACGGCTAGAATTACCAACATTTACTCCTTTCTTGGCTGATATTTGCTTTGGAAAGTATTGCCCTTGCAGGAGTAAAGGGCTTGTTGGAGATTCATCACTACATTTAACTCGAGTAAGGGCTCTATTTTGGTAACACATTTTGCAAGTGTTTGTGTACTCAACATCGTCTATACCATCAACTGTTGAACTAACTGTACACAGCTCGTGACAGAGACCTACAAAATAAGATAACATCAATGAGCTCCCAGACCAACTAGCTAACCCACATAACTACATGATAGTAACTGATACAAGGGAAATAGATGTTATTATAGTACCTTGGCATGTATTGCACTTCACCGCATTCCTGAGAAAATGAGAGAGCATAAATAAACGAACATAAGAAAAAAGCAGAAAAAGGAATTTCGATAAATGCATCAAATGGATACCTAAATGGCACATCCGCTTGACATGAAGCACAACAACACTTATCATTGCCATCTCTCTTCAGTACTAGATAAGTAAAGATATCTTTACAAGGAGTCCTCAAGGGCTTTTTCTTTGTAAATGCACTTCTGGGTTTGTTGGCTGAAGGCAGATCTTTTCCCACTTTTTCTTCATACTCTTTTATTAGATACAAAGGAATCCGCAACTCAGAAAACCAATATTTCTCCTTTCCATCCTGTGTTTGCTCTACTTCTACTATACTCTTCATCACGCGAGATGGGAGATGCTTCTGATTTCCAAAAGCAACACCATACCTAATCTCACTTTCAACAACTCTTTTGTCGCATATGTAAGCATTTCTGAAAGCAGAAGCTTCTGTTTCTGGACCTTTTCCATCTTGGACGCTCTGTTCAGGACGAACAAGGTCACTCCACCTCACATGCATGTCTAGGTACCTCACCTGTAGCAAAAGAAAACAACTTTATTCACTAGGATTGAACATCAGAAGAAACATTCAATCCAGACTTGCAACAAAAGGTTGCCACAAAAGAGGAGCTCAAATCTTTTATCAATATATCTCAATCACCTGAAGCGCAAGCTGAGATGTCGTCTTACACATATCAACTGCAGCCCGCCAAACAAGCTGCCTATTTCTTTTGGCGGTCTCAGACCCTTCAGCATAATAAATACCAGGTATCTTTCTAACACCACCTGCAAGAGAATAAGCTGTTAGTGAACTCTCATGGCATTTATATATGTACGCCACCAAATTTATAGTATGAAAAAATGAAATATTCTTTTTTTATTTGATAACTGAAAAACTGAAGACGTTTTGCATAACAAAAAATGGGGTAATCAAAGACACCTTGACGTGCTGCTTTCTTCACCATCCTTCGGGGTAGAGTCCCTTTCTGGAATATAAACTTTGAAATCAAGCCACCTCTCCACCAAGTGAAGTCAGTCAGTATATCCTGGGACTGATCGGCAGCGGCTTCAACAACAGCCATTGGTTTCCTACCACGTCTCCCTGGTTTACGCTTATGAGTTGATCCAGCAGCACCAGCAGCTGAATGAGTGAGAGAAGATTCAGATGACCCACCATCAACAAGCTTGGTCCACTCCACAGAAAATGCAACTAAGCGGATATTCTCCTCAAGCTACAAACATAAAACCAAAATACTTGACTCAAAAAAGCAGAAACAAATTAACAAAGGACATATTATCTATAGATAAGTCATATGTAGAAAGTAGTCTTAGATGCCAAATGTTAGGGCATATAAAGAATCTATGTTTCGAATTATTTTAAAAGCACATATGCAGCAGGGAAATATCATCAATGCTGTTAAATGCAAAGTTCCCACAGCAAAGCCAGAATAGCCTAATCCTTCCATGTTCTATAGCATCTAATAAATTGGAATATTCTGTTGCAGTTCAAAATAAATCTGCAACTAAGAAATCAAGGCTGCAACTTAAGCAAAGTGGAATTTGCCATTAGTAATGCTGGATTTCATACTTTCTTATTACTTCATCAAAAAAATGCTGGATTTCATACTTCAGGTTCACGATTAATGAACCACAAGCATAATTAAAGCACAGGACCTAAGCACTTGGCCCACTTGCAGCAAAAAGAATATTCACTAAGCAAACACAACGGTAGGACGGAAATTACATGTGCAGATATCCTGTATCCTGCACCACGGTACTTGAAAGTGGTTCACTGCTGCTCCCTGATGGCAATATTCTCTTTGCCATGCAAAACCCTCTCATTATTTAACCACAATTACATTTGTCCTAAAAGATAAAAGGCTAAATAAAAACATTGGTTTTCCAGTAGTATCGTGATTTAACTAGACTTTCCTCATATTCTTAAAAGGACCGTGTATTGTATTAACCATGGAATCAAAGGTACAAGCTTCTACACCATTAAAATATTTATCATAATTTATTCAATTGCTTCACATTATTGCTTTAACTAGATAATGACTGGTTGGGGTGAAAAGAGGAGAAGTAGGATACATAGAACGTAAAAGACAATAAATAAGGGCTAGGTTGGGCGTGATGTGTGGGTTTGGGGCACGTTGTTGGCTCGAACCTTGCCGCAGACAAAAGTTTGGTATTTAAGGAGCGAGCCTATTATCCACTGAGTTTCAAATCGTGCACCACTGGCCCTGGGGTTTTCTTTTCTCGGTTATTAAAAAAGACAGGAAATAAGGGTTATTTCCCATGGTGCTTACAACGTAAAAAAGGAGACGAAGTAAATAAATGGACGAATCTGCACCCCTCCAAGTTGGCATTTTCAAACCTCTCAGATGTAGCAAGGAGAAAATGATATTGGAATACGCTCCATTTATAATAAACAACATAAGCAAAATGACAAATGTGGAACCAAAGAGAAGTCAACTGACTTATGCCGGCCTTCACATCGCCCCCACCTTTTTTATTGGACAAGTACAGCTTTTGGATCTTCTCACCACAACCAAATATAATGTGGAAAATCGTTCACTCAGGAGTCAAAACTTTAAGACTAAGGGACTGTTTAATAATAACTTAAATTTGAAGACGAGCATCTAATAAATCTTCTGATCAAATTTAATCATATTATTTTCTATTTAAAATATTTATTGAATTAGGACAAAACAGGGATATGGCTGAAGATTTGTCATTACCATGAATTTATAATGTACATAAGTCAAAATCAAAGAAATCCTTGAGAACAAGGGAGATCCTCCTATGCCTAGTTTTGTGTGATTTCATGTCTCATCTAGTGGAATCCTCTATAAGTATTCTCCCTCAAGTTGCCCTAATTCTTCCATAGCAGACATATGACAACACATCGGCTAGTTTATACAGCTCAGCAGAGACCTCAACAACTGGGAACTTGACTAATGCATGCTCTTAACATCTCTTCTGAATGGGGCACCACCACAGAAACACTGTCTACCAAAAGTGATTACCCTTTCTGGAATCCTAATACCAAAGGTGATTTCTCTGTTAGGAGCTGCGTATTCCTCTTTGACTGGCTCTGCCTCTTCAGTTTCCTTGGAAATCTATTTAGAAGAACAAGGCACCTTATAAGGTCAAATACTTCACCTGGCATACAGCAGAGCTAAGTGTCTTGTTCTAAACAATCTCTAGAAAAGAGGCATTCCATTGTGCACTAGATGCTATCTTTGTAAAGAGGCACAGAGGAGATCAATCATGTTTTTCTTCATTGTAATTTTACAGGTCCAATTTGGCATTTTTTCTTTAAAACCCTGGGCATCAGGTAGCTTCACCTAGAGCTCCCTTGAATTTTCCTCCCAACTTGGCGAAAGAGGGGCATGACAAAATCTTCCCCCAAATCCTGGAACACTATCCCAGCTATTATATGGTAATCATTCGGGAGAAAGATATTCTGGGGTCTTTAAAGACAAGAGGGTCAATATTTTTTCCTTATTTTGATAATTGTAGTGTCCGGGCCAGCTTACACACACCTCGACTAATTCCAAGGGGTAACTGCTACCAGCACAGATACCGTGTAACTCTGTCCACCAAGGCTTGGGCAAACAAGAGGGTCAATATCGTGAACCTTAAACACAAATGAATATGTTCCCTCAACTTTCTTTAACATGGCCACTACCAATGTTTTAGAGTTGGTTGCCATGACAGATATTCTTAGCTCTTTACATTCTCGGTAAAGTTCTCTCTTTGGATGTACTTACTCCGACATTTTGCCGACATACATCAAATCAATAAAATACTCGCGTTACCTATAAAAAAGTATTCTTTCACGAGGAAACAAGATCCATACATTTATATATATATATATATATATATATATATCCACTTGTTGGCTATCCAACATGAGGTTTTCTTATAAGTATTGACTTTCCAACATGAATTCGTAACTTACTTAAGACATAGTTACTTTACATAAATGGTTGCCCATTTTCAGATTCGATTGTAAGTGCACTTCAGTTAATTGGATTATGCTACCAAGTAGCCCCCAATACTACTAGCACGAAGTACTATTCAATGATCAAAAATGATAAACAAAATACAAGATTACCAAGTAATCTAGTCGATCAAGAAGTGGTAACAAACATTTTAAGAGAGATGATGGAAATGGAAGTGGACATTATGCTAACCAACATTAACATAAACAAATTTCTGCAAAAACTTACTTCAAGCAAAAGAGATTTTATCACACTGCAACTAGTAGCTTGTTCTGCCTGTTTACGCCATTGCTTTCTGAAAGCTGCACTTCGGAAATCGCCAGATATCAAACCAGTTAAGCTCTCCTCCATCAATACAATATACGTAGCAATACCAGGAAGACTTCCATCACCACCCTTAGCAGGACGTAGACCACTAAGTATCTTCACAGCCCCCTTAATGGCATTTGATGCTGCAGCATTCAACAAGCATCCTCTCTTACTAACCACAGGAGCCTTACAACTAAGACACCAACTACATCTTTCCCTTGGTACTTCCACGAGTCTCTTTTCAGTATTTGGCCAGAAAAAACGCATTGCTACTGATGAGAAAGCTTTAGCTTGAAGTAGGAAATTTGCAGACATATGTTTCCGCCTATTGTCTGAAACACGAGTCTCAGAACCCTGGTTTTCTTCAGAAGAAAGGACAGCTAGACTAGCAGCGGCAGATGCGGCAAAATCTCCATGCAGATAACTATTTATATATCCTTGAGGTTTAAAAGATGAACCCATGTATAAACAACCTCTTCCATGAGACACCGTGACAGCGGCATAAGTACCACTAATTTGTTCCAAGTAGTTATTGGGGCTTCTTGAAGTACATATAGCAGTCTTTGCCAAATTTGGGCCATCTCGTTCAGTCCACTCAGAAGGAATAAGATGCTGGTCAACTGAACCAGTGCATACAATGGGCTTCACTTTAGTTTGTTCAGATGGCAACGAGTCTAAAGGAGTGTTACTCTGTCTCGCTATAGACTCAATATTTGCCAGACAAAGACCATCAGGTTGGGAAACTGCATCTAATTTCTCATTCTGCATAGGTTCTGTCGAGAAGTTGCCTAGAAGATCACTTCCTGGACCAAATTCAGTGATACAAGTTACAGTATTCTCTTCCCCAAGACTTTCCTTAACCAAAGAATTAAGTGATGGCATAAGGCGACCACCTGTTGTGTCTTCTCCTTGCCCACTAATTTCAAATAGTTCACCATTAGGGAATATGACATTGACTGGAATTTCCCAGTACTGCATAATTCCTTTGCATATTTCCAAATATAAGGCATAATGATGCACGTTGGCATTAAGTACTTGCAGGACCTTGGGTATGTCTTTGTCATAGTAGTATCTGACATTAGACTCTATACCAGCTAAAGCCTTCAACCTATAATAGAAGATCAAAAATGCATTTAGAAAAAGATAACCACAGGAAGATTTCAGCGTGAACTACATAAGATTAAGGGCATTACAAATCTCCACATAGAATATCCCACAATCAAATACTGCAACTTAACGGAGTCGATCAATATAAAAGTTAAGAGACATACACAAGCAGATGATTGCAAGTACCCATAAAGATTTGTCCATAGGGATCAACACCAAAAAACTCTGATCCTCTCAGAGTTGTTCCCCTCATAATTTTAGGCTCAAGCTCACTGACTGTGCACTCAGGACAATACCATGCTCCTTCTGGTATATACATCTTGCAAACACCAATGCACCTAGCATGGTAAGATGCGGGACAGCCGTCACAGCAAAGTAAAGTCCCATCCATACCGCAGAGACGACATTCATCACCATTACCATCTTGATCAACATGACGGAAAGCATCTTGGCCACTAACTTTGGAACCCAAAGAATTAGTATTAGTTTCTTTGCTAAGCTTGATGGCTTCTCGGTCCTTGCAGGCAGAAGTTTTAGAGTACCGTGGATGCACTCTACGTGGTCCAATCACAGGGGCTAAAACTGTACCCGCATCTGAATCGATACCTACCTCTGATTCTTCGCGCATGTCAATTTCTGCTCTTAGCTCTTCAGAATCTAGGGCATTATCACACAAGATCTGCAGAACTATGAGTTTCCTGCCAGCAGATAGTGAGTAGTATTCCTTCTCCAAAGTATGGGGATAAAAACCTTCCCATCCATCTTCATCTGTGTATCCCATTCCCGTCAGATAGTGAACTAGATAAGCAGGCCATGTCATTGTATCAAGCAAGCTCCAATCAATGTACCTATGAACAAGCAGAAATAGTTAAGTTTCCAAAATGCACCTCACTAGATTTTATAATTGTTAACTTTCCAGTCATTTGTATTCTTCTTCTGACAAATTATCTAGCTTTTAATTATTTTACCATACCATAATCAAGAAATTTTCAAGTTCAGTGGTGTATTTTTTGGAAGGACTGCATAACAGGAAGTACCTCCCAAAGGATTCAGAACCAAGACAGCACTAAAGTAAACCAACTGACTAGAACTCAGTCCAACAGTTTCTTGAAAAAAATCCTCCGTAAAATAGGCAAATGTACTCACCTTAGGCATTTTGATGCAAGCTCGGAACCATCAGATGACAGATTTTCAAGATGACGCTTCAAAACACGCATAAGAGCGACATGAATAGAGTCCAACAATGAGTTTGGAACAGAACAGTTGAGTGCACCCACAAAATCATCAAGTCCAAAGGGACTCAGAAACAACGTGGTACTAAACATCCGTAAAAAGCTATAAACTGACAAAAGGTGTGATACATACTCCTCCGGAACACCAATATTTCCAGAAGAGTGGGGCAGTTCAGGTGCAGGAACAAGAGGCTTTTCCACCTCCGAACTTAATTCCTGCTCCTCATCATCATCAGACGAATTGCTCAGTGAATCAGCATCAACATCTACTTGCATCTTCTCAACCTCAACAGGACAATCGTTTCCCAAATCACTCGCAACTGGCACTTCTTCGTTCTTATCAGCTACAGCACTTATCGGCTCAGCCATAATCTTTACCTCCCTACTAGCTACCAATTCATTTAACTTTTCCTTCCTATCCAACCACTCACCAACCAACTCATCGTCTTCAACCAAAACCTCTTTCACTTCGGCGGTATCCAAATCTTCACAATCTCCATCATCGTATTCAACCCTATACAACCCCGAATCATAGCACATAATCTTTCCCAAAAATAACCCGTTCCCCTCAAAATCCTTCCTCACATACCTACCCACCAATGCTTTGGGTCTCAATCCAACAGCAGCCCTTTTCTTCCCATCTTGATCAACCTCCACATTTTGTACATCCTTTCTTCGCCTTTTCCTCCCTCGCTTTTCTGATCTAACCACACCACCACCCTCCATTCCACGGAAACCCCCACCTCAATACCCGATCCAATTTACACCATAAACCTAAATTTCCTTCAAATTCAAAATCGCTGGTCTTGACAATCGAACCTATTTTAAAAAATCAATCAGATTTTAGGGCTCTTTCCTTCAGATCGCAAAAACCCAACAACAATTAAATCAAACAAAACAAAACACAAATCAGCAGAATCTCAAGTATTTTCACAAATTATACAGCATTAAGGTTCAAACACTTGCGTTTATATACAAATCTATGAGTAAGATAACATATAATATATAAATAGGATATGTAATAAATTATAAAAATATAAACATATATAGGTATGTATATGTGTATGTATACTATGTAGGTGAAAAACTTACCTTGTTAAGGAAAAGGAACCGCCATAGAAGAGAGAAATGAAAGAATGAAATAGAGATAAGGGAGAGAAATGAATGCAAAAAAGACTGATAGCCCTAAAACCAAAAGGCAAAAACCAGGTCCAGATTCTTCAGTAGCCAAAGAGTTTAATGGTGTGGGCTTTCTGGATATTATTTTCTTTACCCCATCGCAAAACTCAGTGAGTTTCTGTCCGAGTTTCTAACTCATTCACTCGGACGATTCGCGGTGCTGAGTTCCTCAATAATTTTGTAAACAATTCAATTCAATATTTATTAAGAAAAAGAGTATAAAACAATTAAACTTAAGTTAAATTTAGATTTGAAATTTTTCCACACTTTGTATGATGAAAAAAAAATTATTTTTCCGATAGTTAAGAACTTACTTTACTTCACTATTGCCATAATTATAGATATTATTATCAATCTTTAATATTAAAAAATTTCATAATAAATACTACGATTTAATTTGCTAATTTTATCATTAATATTTAGTTAATACCTTTTTATTAATTTCCTCAAGAAAATATTAAATTTATATAGGTTAGTTTTCACAAAGTAGAAACAAAAAAAAAACTCTCTTACATTAGGAAATATTTAAAAAACTAAAGTTTAAAAGAAAAAATTTACATATTTTTTGTGTGTGTTCCTTCTCTAAAACATAAAAGAACAAACATGTATTAATCTTTGATTAAATTATTTGTAGTATTTTCTAATAAAATATCACCATTAAAGAATGTCGTAATAATTGTGACGTTTCTTTAGAAATTTCAAACACAACTGAAACGTTCAATACATAATTTAAAGAGTGTCATAATGGTTTTCCATTTTATACAAACAAATTGTGCTATCTCGTAACATCAATAACAACATATACTAACCATTGAAATTTTTAACTTTAAAAAACAAGAATATAAATGCTTGCCAGCAAAGTTTATAAATGGTATGTTTATATATGAGAAATCAAGATTAAAGGAAAAGAGGAACAAAAAGGAAGCATAATTAATCACCGAGTGGTGAGTCAACTCGGTCTCTTTTTTATTTCCATTAAGCTTGTCCTTTTTTTTTTAGGGACTTCACAATTAACAAACCAAATAACATGAAACCTATTGGCGGGAACAAAAGCTTTAGTGATTTTGTGTTACCTGCCAAACATCTTTGTAGCTTCAAAAAGATACTCTACAATATTTTGCAACAAAATATTTTGTTTTTAACGGTCATGTTTTCAATATTCATTTGGATTTTTACATTGGTTATCATATTTTACTAAACAAATATTATCCTAGGCCAAGTAGCAAATACTCAATTAAAATACCAACTTTTAATATCATCATAAATAGCTACTCCCTCCGGTTCACAATAAGTGTCCAATTTACTTTTTCATTTTGGTTCAAAATAAGTGTCCAGTTATGTAATCAAGAAAGAATTCAATTTGGTACATATCCCTAAAAAGTTTTCTTACTCCTCACATTAAATGTTTAATTGGGGGTAGTTTAGTCATAGTAGGTATTTTTGTATAGTTTAGTATTTTCTTAATGGGCGTGATGAAAGTAAATTGGACACTTATTGTGAACCGGAGGGAGTAACGTAGAACAATCATATAAAAGTTTTCTATCTATGCTATCGTGGTTGATAATCTTATTCCATTACAATACTAATAATGAATGGAGATTATATTATTTTTAACATAATTGGGGTACCAGTATATATTTTACTTGTATGTGTGTGTGTGTTTTTTTTGTTTTTTGTTTTTTTTTGCGTATTTGGTGATATACATATTTTTCACGGAATTGCACGATAAATTCTTGGGATGAGATATTGTAGATTCATCAGTGGGAGGTGTTAAATCGGATATCCTATATTGTTAGTTTCCTTATTGATTCGATGAATTCTCTACTTTTTGACTTCTTCAAGGGACACTCTTGAATGATCAGCTAGATTGGTGAAAAACTTAAAACGGAAAAGGGTCTGATATATCCCTCTACTATGATATATTGTTCAATACCGTCCCCCGTTATACTTTCCTTCCATTAAAGCCTTTACCGTCCAACAAAGTTCCATATGTGCCCTTATTTTAACGGTTGGGCCACGTGGCACGATCTGAGAAGACTAATAACCCACTACACTAAATAAACCTCCCCAATTCCCCGCCCCGCCGCCCGTTCCTAAAACATAACAACTAAGTAAATACACTAAAATCCCAGTAAAAAACACATAAACAAAAGATAAAAAAGTGGAAAAAGTAAGCAAATGGTATGGAACCTAATGGATTATCTCTGCTTACTTATCATGCTAGATTCATTGGTAGCTGGTAATATGAATGGGTAGTCCAACCTAAGTCATTTTGACCTATAATAGTTACATGAACTTTGAGCTCCAAGTCTCTATGCAGCATACCTTTATTTTGTTATTTTGACATATAAATTAAACTAGAGGAATGTCCTTGGAGGTGGGGAATTCATTTGAAGTCGTGCGCATGAGAAGGGAAAACCAAGTCTTGGATATGTACTGCCAAGTGGAAGAATGAATGGAGTTACCTTCTGAGACAAATTTGGAAGAGATGTTGGGTTGAGCTGTTCCTGAGATAGAAATAGCTTACACCTTGATTTAATCATGCCCTTATACCAAGAACAGGCTTGACTCAAGGATCAAAATTTAAGGCATGTATTGTCAACAATTTGAGACATGGTTTGACGCCTCCGCCTCCATTTTACATGGATGCCTGCTGTTAATCCAAGGCATTCGAAACCCATATATAGTTCATTTATATAGTTTAGGCTTCCATTGTGTTGACCTAACCTGGGTAGCACTAGTTTATGTTCAAGCTAGATGTTCATCACCCTATTGTTAGAACTTTTTTGTTGTTTCATTTGCTCTTCAAGTTTTATGTTAGTTGCCTCACAGCCAGAGATAAGCACCTAAGAGCAAAATAATCGTCTTCGTGATTTATATTTTGAATTTCGATGCATCTGCTGCCCTTTTCTGGTCAGTTTGAAAAAGAAAATATATTGGGAAGCTAATTGAAAATGTATTTTGGATGTTATGTGATGGAGTAGGTCAGTGCATATATCCTTGGAGAATACAGCCATCTTCTGGCTAGAAGGCCTGGATGTAGTCCAAAAGAAATCTTTAACATCATTCATGAGAAGCTTCCTACTGTTACGTAAGTATATTCAGTGTTTGATCTCATTTTGTCATTGTTTTTTATTATCCTATCTGATATTTTACACAAACTATGTTATCAGGACTTCAACAATTCCCATTCTTCTGTCAACTTATGCGAAGATATTGATGCACACACAACCACCAGATCCAGAGCTACAGAATCAGATTTGGGCAATATTCAGGAAGTAAGATAGTATTAATTTATGGTGTTGTAATTTCTGTTTATCCTGTACGGTTGTTTTCTTCTGTGTATATTTCCTAAGGTATTGCGATAATTTATAGAGCTGCGTAATATCCCAGATATGAAAGCTGCATCGAAGTTGAAATACAGCAACGGGCTGTGGAATACTTTGAGTTGAGTAAGAAAGGTGCAGCTTTAATGGATATCTTAGCCGAAATGCCAAAGTTCCCTGAGCGACAGGTATGCATGCAGGACTTCTCGACTTTGATTAATTATTTTCTGCAGTATTCTGCATAATTGATGTATTAGTTTGACGGGAGTCCTCCTTTTGCATCTTATAATGTAATCTTTCAATTTTTGCAGTATGACGTTGTCCTTTTATTATTGTTATTGTTATTATTGGTGTTAAGCGACAATATTCTCTTTACGATGTAGTCTTCACTGATAAGAAAAGCTGAGGATACTGAGGCTGATACCGCTGACCAAAGTGCAATCAAGTTGCGTGCACAACAGCAAACTTCTAATGCTCTAGTAATGACAGACCAACGCCCTGCTAATGGAACTCCACCAGTCAGCCAGCTAGGTTTAGTAAAAGTTCCAAGCATGAGCAATGTGGTAATGTGTCTCTCTGACCATTTATGCAAAAATTGAGGATATAATTGTCTGTGTTTTTAGTATTAGATGGTAACCAACAATTTACTTTATGGACAGGATCGTGATTTAGCAGATCAAGGGGAGACTCAGTCAAATGGAACTTTGACTGTTGTGGATCCTCAACCCCCTTCAACCCCTTCGCCTGATCTCCTGGGTGATCTTTTAAGTCCTCTGGCTATTGAGGGCCCTCAGCCTGATGCTAACCAATCTGACCATAATTTGGGTGCTGGTGTTAAAGGTGCTCCAACTGCAGAGNTCTTTCAGGAATCCCATGTCCTCATGCAATAAGATCATGCTTGTATTTAAAGGAAGACCCTTTGAAGGAGATGCACTGGTGGTACAACAAAGAAGCCTTTCTACTTACAAGCATAAATTACAACCTGTACCTGGTGAGAAATTCTGGAAACTAGATCCATCTCAAGCAATGGAACCTCCAGAACTGGTGAAACAAACTGGCAGGCCTAAAGTCAAAAGAGATAGACAAAAGGATGAGGCAATCAAGAGGCAAGGAGAGTGGAGTCAGTCCAGAAAAGGCAGAATTATGACTTGTGGCAATTGTGGAGAGGCAAACCATAATGCAAGGGGATGTAAAAATGTATAGACCCAATACTTAGCTATTATACATAATCTACTCCAACTATTTCTTTTTTATTATACTTAATTGATATTAACTATTTCTTTTTTATATTAAATAGCCAATGAATGTGCAGAAAGTGACAAAGAAGAAGCAGCCATCAAATGAAAATGATGGGCAGACATCTAGGGCTAAGAAGCCAGCCAAAAGACAAAAGGACTTTGATTAATGAAGACACTGATGATGATGAGGTATTGGCAGATATCAATTTATCAGCACCCCAAGTGTCCCAAACAAGTGAAGGCATTGGCAGCAGTCAGTCATTTATCTTTATGCCTACTCCAACTTTGGATGCTTTTTCTGATTTTGATGATGGACCTGAACCTCCATTAAGGCCTAGTATTATATCAGAATCACAAACTAGACTTATGGAAAGGCAGAAGGTTGGTATGAACACTGGGACAAGGACAATCAAGTTTACAGGAGATAACACAGGTGTAAGTGAACCTGCTAATCTTCCATACTCCCCAGTAAACTTGACATGGAATGGAAAGGCAGCAATCACTGGGAATCAATTGGAGATGCAAACAAGACAAAGAATTGGAAAGTTGAAGACAAGAAAGGGGCCTTGATAATCTAATTAGGACTTGTTTTGTTAGTTTGTAGCTAAAGTGAAACTTAAACACTTTGTTTATTTTTGTTGGCATTTGGAGTTGGATGCCTTGTTATTACTAAGGTTGAGTGAGTTTTTGAAGTTATAGCTGTGGCATCCAATTATCCAACTTGATGTAATAGGCAGAATTATGACTTGTTGAATTATTGCTACTGCCCAGTTTTTGTTAATGTTACTGCCCAGTTCTTTTTGCCTTACTGTCCATTTTTTTGGCCTTGTTGCTTCCCAGTTTTTTGGCCTTGTTACTGCTGTCCTTAAGCAGTTTTTTTGCATTATAGTGCTGCAGTTTTTTTGGCCTTGTTGCTGCCCAGTTTTTTGGCCTTGTTACTGCTGTCCTTAAGCAATTTTTTTGCATTATAGTGCTGCAATTTTTTTGGCCTTGTTGCTGCCCAGTTTTTTGGCCTTGTTACTATTGTCCTTAAGCAGTTTTTTTGCATTATAGTGCTGCAATTTTTTTGACCTTGTTACAGCAGTTTTTTGGCCTTGTTACTGCTGTACTGCTGCCCAGTTTTACAAGTTTTTTACTGCAGTCCTGTTGTGTTATGTATAAGACAATTACATAAGGAATAGTGCTGCAGTATTTTGGCCTTGTTACTGCAGTTTTTTTGGCCTTGTTACTGCAGTTTTCTTCTACTTTTGGGCTAGTTAACAGTTTCAGAGTTATCATAAACAACATTCCAATAGTCATTAAGTAAACAATGTCATTACAATACAAAATCCAACCATTAAACATCTAATAGAAACTCCCAACAAGTTCAACATTCCAATATTCGATTGTAAATACAACATCCCCTTCTACAAACTACTTTCAACATAATTTCACTTCATTATATAAGAGAATGCAAATCCAACTATTAGCGAGCATAAAATTGTGATGATCATCTTCAACTTCACCATTTTTGCTTCCAATTCCATATTTTTTTTAACTTCAAAATTCTTCATAGAATCTATGAGTGCAATCTTTTCAGTCAGCCGGTCTCTTTCAACCTTAAGAGCTTCCAACGAAACATTCAACATCTTAATCTCGCGATTTGCAGCTTCTAATCTTACATTGTTAATTGCAATTAAAGCAGCATTAGGATACTCTTCATCATGCCATTCCCAAAACCCACATCCTTCACTCTACACAAACCACAAGAAAATAAATTCAAAATAGAGACTTTTAGGATATTTGTAAATCGAAATAGAGAAATAAAAACTACCTCAGGTTTAGGACATTTGTAAAATCTTCTTCCAGGGTTTAAGAGAGTTTTTGAAGTAAAGTGATTAGCAACTTCCCCACATCGGCAGATCCTCTTCGACGAACAGCTATTTTCCAACATTGTACAACACTTTCCAAAGAAGCCCTAGAATTTTGATTGTGTTTTTACAGTGGGTTTTTGATTTATGGATGAAGAAGCCCTAGAATTTTGGTGTTTTGTTTGTGCTTTTACGGTGGTTATTTGATTTATTGTTTTGGGAACGGGCGGGCGGGGCAGGGGAATTGGGGCGGGTTAGGTTTATTTAGTGTAGTGGGTTCTTAGTCTTCTCAGATCGTGCCACATGGCCCAGCCGTTAAAATAAGGGCACATATGGAACTTTGTTGGACGGTAAGGGCTTTAATGGACGGAAAGTATAACGGGGGACGGTATTGAACAATATATCATAGTAGAGGGATATATCAGGCCCTTTTCCAAACTTAAAATTACGGAAATACAATGAACTAGGAAGCAACACTCCTAACAAAAGACAAAGAGAATCAAGTTCCAAAAATGAGCTACGGGTGATGATGATGAGTGTTTACCTCGAAAATACGAGTAACAACTAAATTTTATTTGTGGTTTTAAAGATACGTGATTTAATTCAATATCAATTAATAGTCAAGAAGTATGAAGTAGAAATGATAGAAATAAGTGAATCAAACCAGTATTGTTTAGCAGTATCGACCTCGAGCTTAGTGACCTCGAGATGGACCAAGGACAATAATATAAGAACAGTAAAGAGAGAGACAGTTCTGATGAACAATGAGCCAGAAAAAGTAAGATAGTATATTCTTTGCCAAAGATGAGATGATGTTACAAATGATTGGGGTGCCCTTTATATAATAGGGAAACCCTAAATAAGGTACATTTCTATTTATAGTAAGGAATATTATTGGTACATCTGTCTAACCGCCTAGTACGGAATCGTACAATTCTATTCCGGGATTTGCGCCACGATCTTGGGGACGTGGCGGGAATCTCGCTCTTTCTGTTAGAAATCCATAACGGCATTATTTCGAGGTTGAGCGTACTCGGCTTCGGTATACATCGCACTCCGAACCTCGGGCCTTGCATCCTATCTTCGAGATCGAGTCTGATCCATCGGGCTCGAACTCGACCTTGCCTGAACTCGGGCTTGAGGTGACCCCTTGAGCCTATAGATCGAAGGCATACGATCTTGACCATATATAGATAGTCCCCGCGTTTCTTAGAGTAGGTCGATAAGAAACGATTTGATCTTTGATGCTCCGACGCCTCTGTCCCAATGTCAATCTCGTGATGACAGTTGCTGAAGTGACTGAAAGGTCGCTTTCGTGCAGTGCCCAAAGTTATTAATTGGAGGCAGCTGATGGTTGGCTATTTGGCTTCCCCAATACGCTTATGTGACTTCTATAAATAGGCCAACTTCACAATTTTTGCAAACTTTATTTCTCTAATCGTTTTTAAAATATCATTAGCTCCTTCAACTTCTCTTTAATTTGCCCTTACTTCATCATCAACCCTTTCTCTTTGAATTTCTACACCATAATGGCTAAAACATCTAAATCTGTTCCCCAAAAAGAAAAAGCCTCTTCATCATCATGACCGGCCAGAAGTAAAACGGTGGTGTCACCTCGTATCGAGGAGTGTATTCCTCCGCCGTGTGAAACAACCTCCGATTTCAAAATCAAGAAACCTGTATCGACACCAGGCCGATGTGAGCCCATGTCTCGATACATTTGTTTGATAACCAAAGATGAGCTCCAGCAGGTGAAAAAGGACTGCAACTGGGAGAACAAAGATGTAGTGATCCCTTCCCCTGAAGAGGACATCACTACTCACAAAGCAGGATACTTAAGCGTGTACACCTACCCATTCACGCTGGGCCTTGTCGATCCAGCTTTAGGTCCCATTGATCCAGTTATTCTTGATTTTTGCCAACAATACCAAGTGACGCTTGGCCAGATATATCCTTCATTCTGGCGCATTGTCAATCTGATCAGATTCTTCTCCAAACAGGTCGAGGGAATGCCTTTTACCCTCGATCATCTGATCAGGCTATATAGTCCTCGTCTTTATCGAGGTGGCCTAATAAAGCTGCAACGCTGATCCACAAAATCTCTCTTCTCCAGCATCGATGAAGACAAAGATCGAGGGTGGATGAGCCGGTTTATCCGAGTCAGGACCACCGATCTGATATCTGCTGAGAGGATGCCATTACCCGAAGAATGGAATATGAAACGTAAGTATACGTTTGTCGATAATGACTTCATGCCCTGTTTTCCTTTTCTTTCTCGACTTCATCTTTTTTCTCGGCCTAACCAATTTTCGATGGTATAGCTGTTGCTTGGTTTCTCGGTGCGGTCCCAGACCTCGAAGGTTGGGTCCAGAAGTTGGTCTCTACTTTTTCATACGCGGAGCGCAGCTAGCGTGACTTGGCCAAAGGTCGATGGGAATCTAAAAACCATGGTGAGTCCTCTTGTTTGCTTATTTGTGTTTCTCAGAGAAATACTTACTTTGTCTTTATGTAGGCCTCGGAGATGCCATTTTTATGCGGCCACCCCCGCCCGGTGAAGAAGAGATCCCAAAGTCTTCCAAAGAAAAGAAAAGAAAGAGGTGGTCGCCTGAAAATTCCCCAAAGCCGAAGAAAAGCAAGGCTCGAAAGTCTAAGGTTGATACTGTGGCTCTATCTCCAGGAATGACCCAACGCCTTAGGGACGAGGAGCAAGAGAGGGAGGACGACGACTACCTTTTGGTAGTTCGAAAAAGAGGAAGCACTGACGCTTCGAAGTCTGCCGAACCGATGATGGCTGATGCGGTT